GGCGGGGCCGGGGCCGGGGCCGGGGCCGGGGTCCGGCGAGGCGGCGCTGGAGGAGAACCCCTTCTACGGGAAGTACCGCCACAAGATCCAGGAGCTGCGGAGGTGCGGGGGGGCCGGGCCGTGAGGAGAAAGAAGGGGGCGGTTTTGGGGGAGAGGGGGTGCTTGGGTAGCTGGGATTTTTTTGGGAGGAGGGAGGTCATTTTTAGCTTTGTGCCCTTACGAGAAAATGAATCACTTTAGGCGAAATGCTGCCTTGACATTCACTTCTATTGTTGCCACCGAGTCAGTGAGAGTCGTCTCCCAAATCAGTTTGATAAGAGATTTTTTCACTCACAAGAAGTTAAAATGTTTAAGTTAAGAACAGGAATCAGTACCACAGTAAACATTTTAAAAGGCCAAATGGTGTTAATCACCCCATACAGTTAATAGTCCCTTTTCCAATTCAGATCCAGTCCAGATGTGTTTGAATCCCGTATGGAAAAGAGAAATGAAGTGAAAAAGCAGCCCGTGGGATATTCCAATCAAGGAGAATTTATCAGATGTATGGAAGAAAAGGCAAGGCCAATTTTCTTTGTAATTCACATAGATTAAAGCTATAATGTTATTTATATAGGATCAGCATAATGCTACAAACATACAATGTTCCTGTTAGTAAGGAGCCCCAGAATTTCATTCTGGTGGCTAAAAATGTTGTTCTGTATTCCAGCATATTATTTTGCTTTTTTTAGGCTGTAAATTCTGTGCTTGAGGTCTTAGTTAAGTGTTTAATTAGTTCCAGATTAGTTTGGTGAGATGGAGTGACATGATCTTGCATTTATCATTGTGTAGTGAATGAAGGAAAGCTGTTCAATAATATTGGATCCAGAATGCATAATAGTTTGCTTTAATCCTTTCTGATCTTGAAATTGATAATTCACATTAAGTTACTCATCATCTTATTCTCCTAATCAATATTTTATTTTAATAAAATGCACTGCAGCAATCTTTAAGTATCTTAAATTTGAGCTCATACTCAGGAGATCTCTTCAGCAGGCATGTTTTGTGTGGCAGGGAAGGCAAATAAAGGTATTAAAGCATCAGCTATAAAAACTAAAGAATGTTTTCTTCTAGGTAGAAGGCTTGGGCACGAAGAAATCAAAGGGAGGTTTCACAAAAGATAAGGTGAGAGAAATGAACCTAAGTGTTAAGAGAGTACTTGCTGGCAAATGAAGGATGTAGATTAACTTGTATTGCTACTATCTGTGCTTCAGCCAAGAGCTTCTTGAGATAAAACTAATATACCTTATGCTGCACTGGGCTATAAGATACTCATTTACTATTGGGATCACGTTCAAGTCTTAAAACTGCCAGCAGTCCCTTTTTTTATTATCCAGTCCTTTCTCTCTTGACATCCTGGAAGTTCCTGCTAGTTAGGGGATCTGTCCTGAATGCTGACAGTAATAAATTGAAAGGGTTAAGCTGCCTTTACAGCATGTAAATCTATTTCCAAGATCAGCCAGCAGAGGGACAAGAGAATGGTTTTATTCTTTCACATTCTTGTATTTTGGCAAACTTTCTGTGTAAATCTGCCAACTGAGCATGTGTCTGAGATGGCTGAAGGGGAAAGGCTGCAGCTCCTCTTGCAGCTTCAGTAGAGATCTGCAGAACCGGAGCGAAGTGTGTTCTGTGTCCTGACTGAATCTCTTCTATTCTGCCTCAGTGTGTGAATCCACTTCTCAGGGTGTTACTGCTTATGATTTACTACTTTCTTTGGCAATTCAGAGTACTAAGCCACATTGTAAATTGAATTAAGTTTCTCCAGCTTGATTTTTTTTTTCTCTGTAATTGCATCCATTCATTCTGGATTCTCACTTGAATCAGAGAACTGTCATCATGCCAAATTCCGTATGCTTTCTCTTGCAGACGCTTGATTCGATTCTTAATGTTGAGGTGGTGAAAGAAAAATCAGCGGAGGAGATAAAACAGGTGAGGGATTTAAATGGAATAAAATTTGCTCCACATCTATGCTTAATAGTAATCTACACGTGAGGATGGAAGTTTTACTTAGCCTGAAAAATAAAACATGACTATGGATGTATATTTATAAAAAGCACGTTTACATGCATATCAATAGTAGAAGATAAAGTTTTCTCCATGTAGGTAAGACCACTTAGGATGTACCCACTTGATAAATAATGCACCTGGACTTGATCACTCAAAACCTGTCTCTATCATAATTCTTATTGTTGCCGTTTAATGTGTAGCAGTTGAATTGGCATCAGCAAGCTCCTGTCAGGTTTGAAGCCAGGTAAAGGGAAACCCTATTAGTAGCTCATGTGGCTACCTCTGTTCTGCAGGAATAAAAACAAAGCTTTTGCCATCTTCTATCTTTGCTTGCATTATCTGTCACTCAGGAGGCTTTGTACCCATGCTAAAGATGGTTAGGGTAAGAAGGAGGTGGGTGGATCTGTTTGTTTATTTGAAGAACAGTGTGAATCAAGTTATTCTCCCTAATATCTGCTTGGCTTTGCACTGTGTTCCCTTTTATCTAGTTACAAGTCACATCTGTTCCACATTTTTGCTGTAGCTTGAGTTGGATCTGGTATTTTTTTTTTCCTAATCAGACTCTATGCCAAGAAACTTCATGTAGGCACAATCATTTAAGGGGAGCAGCGCATATGAAGGAGCCTTCTGGCACGACTTAGCAGAAATCTAGCTGTTTTCCTGATAGCTCAAGAACATTATAGAGCTGGTTAAGTGCTCTGCAGGGGATGGTGTGCGACCAGTTATAGCATGGAGTGCATTTGATAACTTGTGAGTTTCCTTCGCGTTCGTCTATTTCCATTTCATTAATTAAAGATTTTACTGACAATTCTCATTAGTTACGTAGGACTGGGGAAGAGCAACTGAAAGAGTCCTGAACTCTGGGCTTTTACTTGTACTTGTCCATTTATTAAGGACTTTGTTTGAGCTTTTATGTTGGTATTGCCATCCTGCTGTGGTGACGAAAAAGATTGTGAACACAGAGGAGCATTATGCAAAGTCTTGTCTTCTGTTGAAAATGTTTTGTATGTTCTTTATTAAAAAAAACAAAAAAACCAAAACAAAAACCAAAAAACAAACCAACAACTCAAGCTCTCTAGAAATCATTAGTCTGATTGTTGGGAAAAATGTAAGAAGCACTTCTGATAGCTAGTAAATCTTGAACCACCTCTGAGCATACTGCTTATTTCTGTTACCTAGTTGAAATCTGTCATTTGGTACAAGTACTCTGGAACCTTAGGGGAAGTGTATTGCATTAGCAGGAAAGTCAGTCAGGCTTGATTGAAAAATGACTTCTCAAAGTGCTTACAAAAGCCAGTTGACAAATGGAATTCTTTTCAAAGCATTTAATATTACTGCTAGATGCTTGATTTTAACTGTAGCTCATCTCCTTTGTTTCCTACAGATTTGGAATCAGTATTTTTCTGCAAAAGATACAGTTTATGCTGTTATTCCTGTAAGTAGTTCCCCCGTAGTTATGCACTTGAAAGGCCAATGTGCAAAGCTTTCCTTTCTAACTGTGATTCTGTTGCTTTTAAAAGCAATCATTGAAGGAAAATGAGGTTTCAAGAACAAACTTTCTTTCCAGATTCGATTTCACTTGATCTTATTGCCTCAAATAAAGGCTTTTGTTTCCAAAAATGCGTATCCCTTTTTTTTTTCTCACTTACATCAGTCTCAATAAAGCTAGTACTTTTTTTTTTCTGCACACCTGGCTTGAATTCCCAGGCATTTTTTTATTATGAGTATCAAATACTCTTCACAGGGTCCTAGTATCTATTAAGGTAGCATTTGTATTTTCATATAATTTTTTCTCAGTTACTCGTTTCTTTCTCCTCTTCCCTACAGCACAGACTGTTAACTCAAGTTTAATATGGCAGTGTTAGAGCACTTGGCTAATAACTTGCACGTTGCTACTCACAACTTACTTTTCATACATTTAAAATTACTGGCAGCACTGTCTTTCATTGAGATTGCATGGTGCTTCCTGCGATAAGATCGTATTTCTTATTCCTGATAACTTTACCAGATGTTAATTGTTGTTAATCTGTGTTGGGCTGAAGGAGTTTTCTTTGCTTTGGGGATTTCTTTTTATTCTTTGCCTCAGAGTCTCTACATGATCATGATCTCTTAAATCTGTCTTTTCACAGCTGGCCACGAACTGTGTGTTCCTTGAGTTCTTGAAACCTCATTTAGATCTGGGGTCTGATTTCTAGTTGTACTTGGCCCTTTGAGCTCCAACTGAAGTGATGGGAGGCTATATTCAAAATGTATGAAGTGCTGTACGCTCTGAAAATGGCAACGTGGAATTTGAAGTCAAGCAGCTTCGTGTTTCAGTTTTCCCAACACGTGGATGTTGTGAAAATAGTTTGAATAAAAACATTTACTGTAGGAGAGGGCCAAAGCTAGGGACTCCAGTTAAGATGGTGTAGATCTTCCGTTATTGGGGCTGGCACTGTTCTTTGGTGCACTGTTTTAGGGGAACTTTGGAAGCTTTTAAGGCTTTAATGCAAACCAGATCCTAGGCACGTTAGGAAGTAGTTCATGGTGTCACTGGGGAAAGAAACTACGTCTTTTTCCAGAAGCTTTTTGTTGGCTGGAAGAAAGGCCTCGCATAATTCTCAAAAGTTCTTGCTCAAAAGTACACACGGAGGAATGTCTTGTTGATGCATGGCATATGTTTTCTTTCATGAGCACCTTAGAATAGGTATTAATATATGGTGCTGAGAAGAGAAGATCAGGCAGAAGATTTGGGGGAATGCAGAGGACATGTGAATGAGATTGCCAGGTTCTGTCAGGGATGACCAAATATGTTTGTGGTTTCAATATAAACCTAAGCAATAAGTATGTTATTTGAGTAAATATCTAGGCTACATTTTAATACCGAAGAACAGATGACTGTCATGTAAAATCTACAGTTTGGGGCCAGGGATATGTTGTCTTGCTCAACTGTTGACACCACATGATGCAGTGGAGCTATTACTGCAAGAGGATATAATGTAAGCCTAATGCATGGGCCCCCCACCTCCAAGGAATAAAGCTTTGGATCCAAGGAGTTTGCTGCTGCATCTTAGAGACAGCATTGTTAAAATGGGATACAGATGACATTTAGGTAACTAAGGGCTACATACAGTTTTCCACGCACTCATTGTTAACCGTTCCTGCAGTGAGACCTTCTGTAGATGGGAGTTGTACCCTGTAAAGGTTAATGAGATGATTCTGAATAACTGTGCATCCAGGCTTGTGTTATGAAAACTGAATGTCTCTTTCTCCTTCCCCAAAGGCAGAGAAGTTTGCTTTAATATGGAAGAGAGCCCAGAAATGTCCATCGGTACGTATGGCAGAGACTTGCAACGTGTGGATGTATAGCTGTAATGCATTTCTCCTCTCTGAAGCCTAATTCATAAACTTTGGTCCCTCCTATATTCAGACTCATTGCATCAGCTCTATTAGTAAAAACCAGGTGTTCAAAAAGTTGTCTTACTGTTCAGATAAAAGCAATGGCTATTCATATGTATTAAACAGTTCGTCTAGGTATCAGGTAACTCGATGTAAGAGATGTAGGGTTTAGTAACGAGAGCACAGAATCTCCCAGGGAATGGATTTAGCTACACACCTCTGGTTTCCATTAATTGATGTCCTGTGGTTAAATCTCTTCCGTGCAATGTTGTGAAGAGCCAAGCCTCACAGGCCAGCTTCATTGATGTTCCTGCATGTTTTTCCTTATTGCTTAAAGCATTCTTGCTTTAACCTGGAGGAACTGTTGTTAGCTATAGCTACGTGTCACCATGGCAATATGTTGCATGTACATGGAGAAAGTGAATTCTCTTGCCTTATAGTTGATGTGAGTTGCTCCTCTTTCATTTTATGTTTGTTTACTGGCAGTGAAGATAGGCAGGAGTATCTGAAAGGGAAGAAGGCAAGAAATCAATATGTTGGGGTTCTGCCCACAGAAGGAGCTGAACCTTGTCATCTATTAGCTTGTGTTTCCTGTTCATATATGTGCATAGCCATGCTTTCTTCACCACGCTGGTGATCTGCGATAGGTAAATATTGGTAAGCAAATACGAGCTATGTGCATGGAAGCAAAACTGGGCAGGCAGTATGCTGTGTAAATAATGCCTCTCTGTCTCTGTGGGAGTGTGGCGTAAGTTCTCTTGCAGAGCATTGTAATTCAACAGCTGTGACAGGGGAAGGAAGGGGGGAATTGGGTGTAGTTGAACCCTTTATTACAGATAGAGAGTAAATACTCTGTGGGTTGTGTCTTATGCCAGCACGACAAAGCATAAAATACTGAGAATGCTTAATATGGTTATTTCAGAAATGAGTGGATTCCCAAGATTCAGGTTCACTGTTTCTTATATGGGTTGGTGGGTATCTTGTAAGCTTCAATTAGAAGATTCCTGTGTGAATGAGAAGGTTGTTGCTTTGAAGAAGTTAAACTGCAAAAGAGCAAAACAGCTAACAAGATAAAGAATACATTCTGCAGTTCGTACCACATGCTGCTGGATTAGTATTGTTTTCTGTTGAAAGTAATGTGTTTTTACAGTAATTTGTGCACTGAAGCATGGACTTTGTGCAAATTTCACTATGCTGAGACAGAAATTAAATGCTTCACTCCTTTATGATAACAAAGTAGCTAGACTTCGCTGCGTTGAGTGCTTTTGTAGATCTGAATGGGTGACACTACTGCATTGATGGATTGGTCCTGTATATTTCACTTGCCAAGAGCAAGATCAAATATATCTGACTTCCCGAGCTACGTGGAGCTTGGAAAGTTATTTATAGCTTTAAGTGCATTTCTGTACAGTGCATTGGCATTTAGTCAGGTATCCTGCTTGTTTTTCTGCTCTCCTCTTGTCCTTTCCCTTGGTGTGGGAAAATGAGCAAGTCCCTAGCCTATGGAGCCAAATAGACCGTAAGTCTCTAGAGAGAAAAATACTTGCTGCCTGTTCTGGCACAGTTGGTGAAATTACAGGATTAAAAACTCTGAATGCTCCTTATCTTTTATTTGACCATTTCTGCTGTTGATTTTCTGGAAGTGAACAAAAAGGTCAGAGTCTGAATGTTCTCCACTGTCCTTTTCTTTCCTTTGTCTGTCTCATATAATACTGGTAAAAATACGTGCCAATATGTTTGCTAATGAAGTAATACTGATAAGGTAATGCTGGTTTATTGTCTGCTTTGAAGTCTGGTTCCTGCTGTCCTATCGGTCTTGGTGGGGCAAAGAAACCCTTTTTTCTGTTGTGGTTCTCTCAGCAAAGTGTTATGCTGGAGGCCAGCATGACACGGGCATAGTTTTGTTCTATGAAAGGGAGTATTATTTTTTTATAATTTCTCTGTAGTTTCTGTACGCTTTGCCAAGAAAAGAAGGTTATGAGTTCTTTGTGGGGCAGTGGTCGGGAACAGAATTGCACTTCACTTCCCTAATAAATATTCAGGTGAGTGGTTGAAATAAAAAGTCCAAAAATGGCTTAGGCTCCAGAAATATATAATATCATCATATTACAATATATAATATTTGCTAAATGGTTTAATGAACAGGTTGTCTAGTTTAACTTGAAAGTAATTATCAGGGAAAAACTGCCATTAATTATGGGTAAATTAGTAAATTAATTACGGGTAAATTAGTAAATTTATGGGTATTAAGTGTCTCCTTAATCTAAAGGAGAATGAGGTAGAAGTCATATAATCTCAAAACAGAAGCAAGAGCCAAACTTTTTAGAACCATTTGCACAAACTACTTAAAATACCAGTCGATGCTATGAGATTAAATGTCTTTCTGGAAATTGTGGGTTATTTTAAATGCAAAATGGTCTTTAGTCAAGAAAAAACCCAACCTAACTCTGCAAATCCCCCTTTTTTTTTTCTAAATACAGGAATAATGAACTTTTAATTAGGACTGACCCTTAAGCCTTGAAAAATGACTGTTTCCATAGCAGTTAATACTTAAAAAGTTTTTTAATCAAGCCTCAAAATCTGCAATAGAGTTGAAGGTCTTTACGGGATACTGACAGGTTTCTTATCTCCTTCAGACCCAAGGTGAAACTGCTCCTAGCCAGCTGGTCTTGTACCATTATCCTGAGCTGCAGAAGGAAAAAGGGATAGTACTAATGACAGCAGAAATAGACTCAAAGTTCTTGGTAAGAGAAATCAGAGAAATCTGTTCATTGGCTTCCTTAATTTTATGCTGCAAGTCCTCCTACAGTTTTGAATTAAAACCAAATGAAAGTCAAGTCTTTAAAAGATCCTTTCCCAAAGAGTGGTCTTACTAGATTTCTTTAACCTAATCTACTTCCTTCTAGGGAAAGCTAGAAGGAAATCATCAGTCTTTGGCTGCCTGATGATTTCAGCTCATACATTCTTTTTTTTTTTTCCTTACTCTGGGTATTATAGTTTATTGTTGTAAAAAAAAATAGAAATGCTTCTGTTTTTCTTACTAATGGAAGCAAATTTAAATGAAAGCTGTTGCTACCTACCAACAAGTTAAAACAGTGAAGCTTAATACTGCTTGTCAAATCAGGAGACCTCCAAAGCTTTGTGTTAGGTTTCTGCGTGCCTTTGCTCTTTTCCCTATGTGTGGGTGTGCTGTTATTTGCATATCTGTAATAGTGCGGTGCTAGGACTTAATAGCACTGGGGATTATACTGGTGGAACAAGATAACTGAAGCATCCCACCTCTAACTGACCTACTTATACCAGTTCTGAAACTGTGCGCAGAGGAGTCATTGGTAATGCATTTGCCCTGTTGTATCTGAGAGTAGACAATCAATTTTTGCAAACAGGTCAACCGTAAGAATGGAAAGATGAGACTTTGGTGCATCTCCAGTGCCTTAGAGTGGGCAGGGATCATGAAAGACATCTTTGACCTCTGAGGTGTACGCTCAGCAGGACAGTAGTTGGTAGGCACAGTGCTAAAGTGTGTAAGTAGGTCAGGAACAAGAGGGAGGTGGTTTGTTAAGAGATTTGCAAAACTAACGTGACTTGGAATTGAGTCATTCGATGAGTAGGACTGCAGCCTTTCAGCTGCTGAAGAGTCTTTTTCAATGGGATACTCAAATAGAACAAAACCAGATGGTAACAAATTCTTTGTTTTAACTTGCAGGTGGTCCATGAAGCACAGTGCTTGGCGAATCAGGTGCAGCTTTTCTATGCGACGGATCGTTCCGAGACCTATGAATTAGTGGAGACCTTCAACCACAGATCTAGTGAATTTAAATATATGTCAGTAATAGCAGAGCTTGAGCAAAGCAGACTTGGACGAGAACTGAGACCTGGTCAGGTTTCTGACAAGTCGTAGATCCTGACCTGTGGGTGAAGCAAGCCAGCAGCAGGCAGGGGGTTTCCTAGATGGGGTGGTCCTGTCTCTTCCGTTTCACGAATTTGATTTGGCTACAGAAAGGATCTGGAGACGTCCTGGGAGTGTGATAGTCAAGCCTGTCTGGCACTGATGCAAGATGAGGACTTGGGCCATTGGAACGACAACAACTAATTGCCAAAATGGAGCCCTGTACTTCTGTGTAACTTCATCAGAATGAGCCATTTTCCCCATCCTGTAACTTACTGCTGCATGCTGCATTTGTGAAATCTGAAATAAAATGACAGAAGGGGAGCTATGTAATGTAGTGTATTGACATCAGGAGACAGATAACAATCAATGTTTCTTCTCAGTAAATGCATTTTTAAATGCCCTCTGCCATTATAATTGCATGGTCAAGTGCTTTTTAATCTGTGTGGAATTTATACAGGCTTGTCCATCAAGAAAAGAGAATAGGACTGATGGTCTAAAACAGACTTCTCTTTGTTACTTTTGTGCGTGAGGTTCCTTACACAGATGTATACTGTGGCCTGTGTTTTTCTCAGGATTAAAAAATAGACTGACTAGATTTGTTCTGGGAATTTTGTGCTTCTTAATTGATACATTAATTTTATCCTGTTGCTGTGTTTCTGTCTCAGAGATGTTTTTCTTGAGGAGCAGGATATTAGAAACATGGTTTTATTTTTGTATATTTTTGAATAGTGTAGATGAATTATTGCATACTTTATAGAATTATTTTTTCTCAGACTGGCAGCTAGTCAGTTAACTTTACAAATGGTATTTGGAGGGAGACAAAATTAGCTCTTGTTCCCATTTCAGGAAAGCCACTATCTCCAATAAAAGCAAGATGGAATTGCGTAGTTAACAGAGCTAGAGCCACCAACTGGTTTCTCAATTGCTAAGTGACAACGCATGAAAAAATGCATTGGTGTGAATATGCGCAGCAGCTTTAACATGGCAGTGTTGGTAGGAATCTGGCTTTTAAGGACTACAGCTGGTTTTGCTTTTTAAACCTGCCTTCAACAAAAGAGTCCCATAGCATTCATGCTTTGAGCTTCTCTTTTTTTCATTCCCAGCAGAAGCAGCCAGCGCATCTGCGTACAAGGGCATACTGCAGCAGGGCTGAGTCATGTGCAGGCTGTGCACAGATTACCAGCATACCACCACTGCACAGGTAGACAGGTAAACAGAAGACAGCCAGGAGCTTCCCAGGAGCAATGCTGAAATATTTCCCATATCCACACCAAATCCCTGGCATGAACTTGCCCTTAGCACTAATTATCCATTATGCGCAGGCCACATTGCAGCTTCCGATCAGCCTGCTGAAGCTGGAAAGCATTCCCTGCTTTGCCAAAGAAATGGAGGCAAGAAGAGTATGCAACTTCATCTTTCTTCGTCTTTTGTGGGCAGGGCTGGTAACAGATTTTCTGTGCTACCCTTAACCGTGAGCTGATACGGAGGTTTGATTAGTTACAAAGGGCTCTTACACAATCTGTTTGCTAGTGTAATTGTAGGATCCTGTTGCTGTAATATTCACTGTTACTCCATGCTTTCTCAACCCATTCTTTGGACGTGAACAGTGTTCAGCTAAGCACTGAAGGTGTAGATAGTAAGGTTTTATTGTTGGGGTCTATTGTAGCAGCGACTTGCATACGTTGGGTGTGAACTCCTGTCCATTCAGGGAATTATAAGATATTTCTAGAAGAGGCACGTCTTCTCCTGGGGCTCTGCTGCAAGAAGATGGTCTTGCTCCCTGGTAACATCATCTTTTTGTTTCTGATCGCATTGGGTCTGTCGGTGTGTGCATAGGAGGGGAATAGTCAGAAGAGGTGTGGATAGGGCTGTTATAGCAATCTGAATAGCAAATTACCTTTATTAAAGAGCCTTTCTACTTCTATTTTATAGCATTCGTATTCCATTGATCATTTTCCCTTAGCTGAAATAAGGGCAGTTTTGATTCATTATTCACTTCCTGCTTTGAAGAAGTCAAAGTTGGTGTCTTCATTTTTAATATAGCTATAATATAACATCCCTGGGTGAGTAATTGCGAACAGGAGTGAAATTCAAGGCTTCCAAATCTGCACCTGAGCCTCCTTCTGAGCTTAGAAGACCGAAGTCTCTAGTAAATGCTGTAGCAGTCATTATCTGTAATTTTGAGTGGTTTGTTTTCAACCCATCATGTGATTAATCCCAAACTAAGAACTTCTCCAAGGGTTTAAGATAGACAGAAATGGTAAAGCCAAGAAAAGGAGGCATTTCTTGCATTGTATGCATTGGAAAGGTTTTTAAATAAGCCCCAAGCTGAAAAGGCAAAGTTGATTGTACCGCATGCAGCCATTTTGCAAGAGACTGCATTTTCTGGCCCTGGCAGAGGCGGACTGGACTGATGGAGGGAGCAAGGGCTTTTTCCTGCAGGTGTATTCCTGTGCCTTGACGTGCAAGCCGTAACACGTTAACCCTTGAGTCAGGGTGAGACCAATTGGCACAGAAGTTACTGACTTGGTGTCAGTGATCTGGTGCTGTATTGCGTCTCCCCGAGGAGCAAAGAGCTGGCTAGACTGGCGTGTGCGTGCGTGTGCAATGGCAGGGAGGTAGCGGATGGTTTACAAAGCTGAAAGTTGCACCCCCTCCTGGGAGGTATTCCCAGATCTGCTGCTTAGGATGGGGTTTGCTGCAGCCCCGGAAAATGTTACCGCTGTGTTTTCTCCAGGAAGCCAGTCCGATGGACTGTGCCACTGACATGCTCTTGTGAGCAGGGAAGCTTCAGACAGCTGTTTCTTACTGTATTCCTGTATGATCTGTATACAGATTATAATCTCTGTTCCTACAGATCACAATGTCATGTAGGAACACAGATTATAACAGCGATGGCTCTGTATTCTGAGACGCTGCACCATCAGAGCAGCTTGGTCATGGACAACAGAGTTGGTTCAATATTCGGTGGCCCAGTTGCAGGGTGCAAGTTTGACAGGGTGTGAATAAGCTCCCTAATTTGTAAATGGAAAAGTGGAAACTCTTAGTCCTTTTGGAAATTTATGTGCTGATGTGTGTGCTTGTGCTACAGTTAGGATCTGAGCAGCACAGTCTAGGATCTGCGCTGACTGCTGCTGTGGTGGTGATGAGGCTGAAACTGGGATAAAGACTTGTCATAAAAAGGTCCTAGAGAAACTCTCGGCCTGATCCTCCATCCCACTAAATGCTTGCTGTAAGGGGGAGTAACTCAGCTGAAGAACTGGCCCCACAAACCACCCTTGCTGCAGAAACAGGCCAGTGGTGTTTTGTGTCTGTGTGGCTTCTCTGGTGCCCAGGACGCACTTGTGCGTGAACCGCGGTGCTGGCTGCCTGGCACGGCCTCGGCATGTTTGTAAGTCATTTGATGCACTTAGGATCCGTGTTGAGCCTCAGAGCTGGTGAAAACAATGCTGTTAGTCTTGGCGTGGGGAAAGAAGGTAACTGTGAGACTTACACAGTACAGTTACACAGAAGTACGTGCCGTACAGCCACTAGAGGGAAGGTTTGTCTCCTTATTCTGAGCTACCAGCACACACACAGCTTGCCTGAGCCTGTCTGCTCAGCTTTGTGACCTCAGGGTGAGTTCAAACATTGAGATGCCCAGGCTGCTCCTATCTGGTCGATAACGTGGTGGGCTGCACTGAGTTAGACCAATGGTTACCCTACCCTGGTGTCCTAGATCCCAGATCAGCTGCCTTGGGGAGCAATAGTTTTCCAGGTCGCTTTGCTGATTTCTAGCCATTTGCGGGCCAAGGTCTTCACAGCTGAACCAGGTGCTGCAGGAGCCACCTCCTTCCCTCTGTGCCACCTGCCGTCTGCTGGAGGAGAGCCCAGGGCCAGGGATGCGGCAGCAGTTCCTGCCAGGAGCTGTAGAGCAAGTTTTGCGGCCAGAGGCTCTTGTTAGCAGCATCCCAAAACCCGTTTGCCCACCTACCGCTGTCGCTTCGGGGAGATGTACCCCCACGTCAGCAGGCACTCCCGGAAGAGCCCGTCCTGCTCCCCAGGGAGACACCCTGGCTTGTGAAAGGTGGCTGTTGCAGCAATCAAGGAAGTGCAGATTGAAGGATGATGTTCTTACCCTCGCTTAAAATGCTGACTCCAGTCCTTTTTCATCCGTGCCTGTTTTTTTTCCCTGTGCCTTAGAAAATAGCAAGACTCCAGTCCCCCCTGCTCTGTGACTGAGGAAGTTCCCACTCCCTGTCTCTAAGTTTGTCCAGGACTTGGTGGAGCGGGGAGGGGGAACTGGCTGTTCTGACGCTGCATAGCCGAGGCAAACTTTTCTGGGCACGTCCTTTGCCTCTCTGGGAATAACCGGGCAAACCCACTGCTCCCTTTTGCTGTGTCTTGCGGTCTGCACAGGCATGCAGAGCCTTCAGGCCCTGCCTGGGAACAAGCATCTCCCCGTCCGATGGGGTGCTGTGCTGACAGGGGTGCTGCACTGCCGGAGCGCAGTGCTGCTGGCGTGCATGCCGTGCAGGGAATCGCATGGCTGGGGAGAGCCTGGCCTGGCACCGCAGCTGTTGGGGGCTCACTGCACCCCACCCCCCAGTGCTGCTGTGTCCTGCCGAGCCGTGTGAAGCCGCATCGCTGCTGGGCGTCTTTCCGTGACCGCCCGTGAGGTCCGATGGAGCCATCCAGCGCTCCGGGCTTGCTTCCTTCCCTGCTTCCTTCCCCCCAGGATAAATTCAGCCGTGCACCTGCCTCCAGGAGCAGGGCCAACCCCCCTCTTCCTTCCTCCGGGGCAGACAAATGCCCTCTTCACAATAACACATCCCTCCTGCCACTCCAAGCTTTTCCTCTCTCCCAAGAGAATCCTGCCCTCCCTCCCCACAGCTGGGACCCCAGGTGGCTCCAGGACGATGGGCTCTCTGCTCTGCAAGGTTTCCAAAATCCAAAGCCTCATGCGAGGGGGTAACTCCCTGACCAGGAGATGCTGCTCACCCCTGTGGACTTGCAGGGCTGCAGCTGATGCAACTTCAGCCCTTGTACTGTTTTCCTGGCCCCTCTCCTTTGGCTCCAGACTGCTGACAGTGGGAGGACCCCATCTCGCCTCTAAGTATTTTGGCTCCATCTTGCCTGGATGCAAATCCTGGCTGTGAGTTCTCTCCGGGACCTTTGCTATACAGCCAAGCCCCCTCGGTTTTGGATTTGTGCCCATTTTTTGCTGGGGTTTCAGTTGAAAGTTTCCTCCTGGCTTGGCATTAGCTGTCAGGAGTTACATCTGCTTTGCAGACCTCTGCCTCCTGCTCGCAAGGTCCACAGCCGTTTTGTGGTTTCCTGCA